GCGTAAGCTATGCATGAAGACTCTTGCTTTAACAAAGGCTACTCAACCAACTTGAACATTTGCAGGTATGAGACCGACTAGAATGGAAATCATCATGTTAGCTAAATTTTAGTGTTTGTTAGTGCTTTAAAATTCCATGGTGTGCATGACTGCAGTTATAAATTTTCTAGTGGAAAATGAGACTGAAAATGTAGAAATTAACATGAGAGTCCCCACACCCCGGATCAGTCAATGAAATAAAGACAGATAGCATTTCACATGCATTTCGACATGTAGGCTTATTTTAAAACAGACTAATATGTATATGGTGTAAATTTTTTAATGTTGTGTATAAACTATATTTATTTTTACTTGTACATGTTAAAGAAATAAAAAAAAAATAATAAAAATAAAACTGTAATACTAAACTGTGTAGCCACTAGATGTCTGCATAGCCTTATATATAAATATACGGGCTGTAATATCTAGATGGTGAAACAAGACACGATTTTTAATAGTTTCAAATCGTTTTTACTAGTTTTAATTTTAAAGTCATAGTTAAAATTATTTAGATATTGCTTTTTTGACTTATTTACATATGTAACTTGAAGTAATCCAAAAGTAATCAGATTACATTACTTTTATATTGTGCTACTTGGATTACGTTACTGAATACTTTTTTAATGAAGTCATTTGTAACTGTAACGGAACACATTTCAAAAGTAACCCTCCCATCCCTGATGGTACCTAAAACCCAGGATTGGTGCAAACTAAACTGAAACTTACCTGACTAGCCAGCTAATCCGGCTTCATGGTACAGGCCCCAGGTGTTGGTTGTTTGCACTAAGCTGATAGATTGTTATGACATCAAAGTACCGCGAGAGCTATAGAGAGCAAAGCAAACGGCTCGATGCTTTCGAATCGCTCTTGCTGTACTTTAATGTCATACAATGATAAATTAGCGCTAGATCAAGTGGAACGTCTCGTCACCTTAGCATCTTTTCTCTTTGAATTTAAATCTAGATTTATTCACACTGGCCCCTGAAAACCTCTATGTGAACACACTTGCCTGAAAAAGTGCTCTACATTTACAGTTAATTTAGGTTTGATTTACATTTTGTTTGATATTTATTGTTATCTTAATATTTAATTGTATGAACTTGTATTTAATTGTATGTATAAATGTATTATTTTTAACATATTTATATTTGCATTGTTCACTACATGGCCTAAGGTATGTGGATATCCCTTTCTGATTCAGGGGATTTAATTCATGACAACAGGAATTAGGACATAAGAGCATATAATGAGCAATAAACATGACGAGCACAATAAATATAACAAGGCAGAAGTGTTGAATGTGGTAGAAATGTGAAATTGTAGGAATGTAAGAAATGTTAGAAGTGTAAGAATAAAGTGCTTGTGCACAATTGAAGTGGCTCAGAGCAGATATTATGTTAGAATATGTGCATTTGCACAGAATGTCTTTAGTGCACATTGGGTTAGTTGAGTGCGGATGTATGTAAACTGACCATTGTGCAGTTGTGCAAGAGTGTCTATGTGCAGTTGTGCAAGAGTGTCTATAGTGCACAGCTAAGTGAAAGTACAGAGTGCAGATGTATGCGAATGTCCATTGGAGTGTTTTTTTTTTTTTTTCCCCCTGTAGTCATGGGGTAGGAAGGCAGTTTATGATGGGAGTAGGATGCTGGGTGGTATTAGCTTGTTCAGGATTCTGACATCCTGGGGGAAAAAGCTGTTGCAGAAACTTGCCATGCGGGTCCTGATGCTGCGTAGTCTTCTGCCTGATGGCAGAGGGTCAAACAGATGGTTGGAGGGGTGAGATGAATCTTTCACAATAGTGGAGGCTCTGCATACACAGCGTGCCTGATAGATGTCCTGGATCGAGGTGAGGGAGACCCCTATGATCCTCTCAGCTGTCCTTACTATGCGCTGGAGGGTCTTGCGTTCTGCTGTTTTGCAGTTTCCGAACCACACAGTGATGCAGCTGGCCAGGACACTCTCCACAGTTCCTCTGTAGAAGGTGGTGAGAATGGGTGGTGGGAGGCTGGCTTTCTTCAGCTTCCGCAGGAAGTGAAGACGTTGTTGCGCCTTCTTCTCAGTGGAGTTGGTGTTGATGGACCAGGTGAGGTCATCAGAGATGTGCACACCAAGAAACTTGATGCACCTGATTCTCTCTACAACAGAGCCACTGATGAACAGGGGAGGATGATCAGCTGAACATCTCCGGAAATCCACAATGATCTCTTTTGTCTTGTCCACATTGAGAAACAGATTGTTGCTGTAGCACCAGCTCACCAGTTGTTCCACCTCCTCTCTGTATGGTGTTTCGTTATCGTTGCTGATGAGGCCCACTACTGTCGTGTCATCAGCAAACTTGACAACGAGGTTGGATTCTGACTTGGCTCTGCAGTCGTGGGTGAGCAGCGAGAACAGCAGTGGACTGAGAACACAGATTTGAGGGGCACCTGTGCTTTAAGCGATAGTTCACCCAAAAATGAAAATGCGATGTTTATCGGGCATCCAAGATGTAGGTGACTTTGTTTCTTCAGTAGAACACATTTGATGATTTTTAACTTTAACCGTTGGAGTCCATCAGTCTTATAATGCATGGCAATGGTAACAAAGTCTGTGAGTGTAAAAAAAACATGCACAGACAAATCCAAATGAAACCCTGCGGCTCCTGACGACACATTGATGCCCTAACACACGAAACGATCAGTTTGTGCCAGAAACCGAACAGTATTTATATCATTTTTTACCTCTAATTCACCACTATGTCCAACTGCTTTGAGCACGCGCACGACTTCCGGTGCGTGAGGAGTGTACGCGCTCTGGTGATGCCCTAGTGAACATCGTGAACTATCCCTTTAATGTGATGGTGCCTGATGTTCTGCCACCCATGCGCACTGACTGTCGTCTCTCTGTCAGGAAGTCTAGAATCCAGTTGCAGAGTGGCGTGTTGAGACCCAGTAGAGAGATTACTCACTAGTTACTGTGGAATGATTGTATTGAATGCTGAGCTAAAGTCAATGAACAGAATTCTTACATATGAGTCTTTTGTGTCCAGATGTGATAAGACGGAGTGCAGTGTGTAGGAGATAGCATCATCTGTAGAGCGGTTGGGGTGGTATGCAAATTGTAGAGGGTCTAGTGAAGAGGGCAAAGTGGAGTGGATGTGTTTTTTCCCTTCATTCCAAAAGGGGACGCATCATTTTACTACTTTCCAGAAAAGCGTGCGTTTCTCCTGTCACAGACAAAGACAATTCATAAGACGATCATTTAAAATCATTTAAAGTATCGGAGCAATATACTCCCAAATAATATGCTTTCTGTTTGATGTGTTATTGAAACCATGATATCGTAATCTTTGCCTTACAACTTTTCCTTTCAGTTATTACGATTACTGTGTATGCAAAATACCTGTTGTTTGAGCTTGAATGAAAGTTTATTTTATGTGAGAAACTTTGGTATGAATGAGAAGTATGTACAATACTCGCATTAGGAAACTTTATAAAAGTGCATCATCAAGAAACCAACCAATCTCCGGAAGGGCTTCCCCAAAGGGACGCCATCCTGACGTCATCTCAGTAACCAATCAGCAACAGAATTCCCTCAAGCAGCCAAACCAGGAAACTCAGCTTTTTTCTGTCACCCAAAACGCAAGTAAACGAACAAAATCTTATCTCTGCTGAACTGGTGCCGAGCTAATTTTAAGCAGTAAACATAAGCCAAATCTCTGCTTTGTGATTTTCTCAGGTTGCAAGTAAGAGAACTGTAGCGACTATCTTGCTAAAACTTTGGGCTTTCCTCAAAACTCCGTTAACATCATTGTCATTCTTCAGAACTGTAACAGCAAGTGTAAGTTAGTGCATCCGAGCAATACCATGCATGCTGTAAAGCTTCTTTTCTGACGATAGTCAGTTCATGCTTGCAGTATAAGGAAGGAAAGCTTGTGTCGGGGAGAGTCCAGCCTCGTCAGGCCCAATCATCCACACACCCGTTCACAATCACCGGATTACTAATCAGCCGCACCTGTCACCACCTCATCAACACTAGCTCAAATACTCAGTCACTGCAGTTGCACTTTGTCTGGTCTTGAGTTCACTACGCTACTCCTTACCTGACTCACGAACCTGGACTCCAACCTATCACCCACCTGTCTCCGTCGAAGTCATCTTCCATCAGATCCGAGAAAGACCCAAGAAGCAGTCACTACGTGAGCTAGATCCCTTCAGTTCCTGGAACTCTTTCTGTTTAGCCCATTTGCTCTCCATCTCTCCCCTCAGCACCTCAGTTCAATAAAGAACCCTGCTTACCTGTACATCTCCGTTTTGGTCTCCTTCTGTACTGTGACAACTTCAAGGTACTTATTGCTTCATTTTAAATTTAATTGCTCTCATCAATTTTAATGATAACATCATTCAATTTTAACCAGGAAATACCATTTCTAACTTGAAATTCTAATTTCATTTGCAATCAAGTTCTGCGTCTACCTGTTAGGTCTTCTTTCCTCTCCCTTTCAGTTATTTAATTAACTTAATCACAGTCCTGTGGTTTGTGGTATTAAGAAATCCCCATTCCCAAACACCGGTTTAGAAGCATCCTTCTAAATCAAACTTTATTATAATATATTACGTTCTCAATCAACCTACAATCAATTGCTCCTACAATCAACAGGGCAACTTGAAAGCTGGAGCGGTAGTGGTCTGGCTCAACAATGACCCTTGCCCACCGCAACAATTCAAATTAGGCCCTCACTCATCGTAATATGCAGAAATAGCGGCCATCCTCATCGCCCTACAATTTGCTGCATCCCACAACATAAAAGAACTCCTCATCTGTACCGACTCGATAAACATAAGCCAAGTCTCTGTTTTATGGATTTTCTCAGGTTGCAAGTAAGAGAACTGTAACGAATATCTTGCTAAAACTTTGGGCTTTCCTCAGAACTCCGTTACCATCATTTTCATTCTTCAGAACTGTATATGTGTGTGTGTGTCTATGTGTATGTCTTAGCTTAGGTCAATGTAATTTAAAATAGCCAATAAATTCGTGTTTCATTTATAAAGAATCATTGTCTGGTGTTGTT